CATTTATCTCTATATTATCTATGTCATCTATCTTATCATCCATCCATCCATCCATCCATCTATCACCTATCTTTCTCTATTTCACCTATCATCTGTCTACTTCTATCACTTATCCATCCATCTATCTCTCTATCTCATCTATCCATTCATCTATATCATCTGTCTCTATCTATATGTTATACTATATATGTGTATAATATATATTATACACACATATATGCACACACACACACACACATACACACAATTTGGTCCAGACCTATGATTTCGTTGAAGTGAGGGACTTTCAGTGAAAAAGAAAAGCACCTTTCACTGCTACTGCTTAGCAACTGTTCTGCCACTTCTGGTATTAGAGGGTTGCCTGGGGTACTGGGTAGGTGACTTGCCTAGCATCACACAGCCACTGGGTGTCAGGGAAAGGACTAGAACCTGTGCTTTCCTCTGCTTTGGGGATATCCATATAGATCAACAGACCCCCATACATACTGGTGCAAGAGAGGCATCATGGTGTGAGGAGGGGAGTGCTGAACTTTGAGTTAGAAAGATCTAGAATCAGTTCTTACCTCACACATTTACTTTGTGATCATGGGCAGGTCCCTTAACCTCATTGCCTATCTGTTCTAGTGGATGGATTTTTCACACTAAGAGTTCCCTCATCTTGATGAAATTACAGATTCTGGAACCATCCCTCTACACATACTAGTAATACCTACCTCACAGAGTTACAAGGTTCAAATGTACATAAAGTGCTACGTAACCATTAAAGTGGGCAGCTAGGGATAGAGTGCTAGGCCTGGAGTAAGAAAGACCTGAGTTCAAATCCAGCCTCAGACACTTACTAGTTGTGTGACCCTGGGCAAGTTGCTTTACCTTGTTTGCCTCAGTTTCTTCATCCGTAAAATGAGCTGGAGAAGGAAATGGCAAACTACTCCAGCACATAAAACCCCAAATGGGATCACAGAGAGTTGGCCATGACTGAAATGACTGAAAAACAATTAAAGCACTACATAAATAAGTATTATGGTTATGATTATGATTATGATTACCATCAGGTAGTATAGCATTGTAGATAGCAGGAAGCCTTCAGGTCCTACCTCTGACATAGAGGGGTCACACTTGTAAGCTGCATGCTGCCCACAACACTCTTGAATGTGGCTCAAATCAGATTTAAATGCAGTTCTTATCTGATTTAATGTGTTGCCATATTGAGAGAAAAAAATAAATAAATAAATGCATGAGATCTTGAAAGTCAACATGCAACCTCCAGAGATCCCTACAGATGGTTCAGTATCCCCTGTTTTATTGGAGATTGATCCCCCCATCTCCAGCAATTCTATAAGAAGAGACATTTCAGAGAAGGAGCATTGGGAGGGGGCGTTTTCTCAACTGAGAGTTTCTTACACCAGTGAAATCACAGGTCCAGATACTATCCTATGATGATGATGATGATAATGATGATGATGATGATGATGATGAGGATGATGATGAAACAAGTATTGTGGTAAACACTTTACAAATACTGTCTCATCTGATCCTCCCAAAAACCCTGGGAGGTAGGTGCTCTTATTATCCCCATTTTACAGTTGAGGAAACTGAGGAAAACAAAGGTTAAGTGACTTTACCCTGGACCACACAGCTGGTAAAAGTCTGACCCTCTCAGAGTCAATTCCTGACTTTAAGCCCAGCATGCTATCCATTGCATCAGCTAGCTGATGTTATGATAATGATATTGTTATTATTACATGTACTCACACCATTAGCTACATTCAAATTAAATAAACAAAAAAAAAAAGAAATTTGCAAAGCAAACAGTAGGCTGAGGAGGCTCGGATCCAGGTCAGCCACTCTGCCATGTTCTGAACTGAACAGCAAAAGAACTGGACAGACAGAATGATTTTGCCTTTCTTCCTTCTATTTTTAATTACTCTATTCCAACTCAAGTCCCAAGCCTCAGAAGAATCAGACAAACGGCCCAATCAGAACAAACGTCCTGACCACCATCCTGGCTGTACACAGTTGATTAATCACTTGTGTTATTTGCACAGAAAATATATCATTTACATCAGAGCTCTTTACAATTAAAATGTTTGCAATTAGTCCCAAATACAATTTTAAATTGCTTATGATCCTAATGCAATGAAAACAGCTTTATTCAAGGAGACAGGAAAATGATTGTTTTAAAACATTCATTGCTATCTGTTGATTTTTTTTCCTTTTCTGGAAAATGTGTTTGTATTAAAGAGCAGGCCTGACTAGCTCAGTTGCCTTAATTAAGAATCACCTCTTTTCTGCTCTTAATGAGACCTGTGCTCTTTAGTACTTACCTGAGAAGGATGGGGATCTCATGAAGGCACTTGGTTATGGGGAATCTTAAAAATGTGGAAAACCACATATTTTAAGGATACTATTTGTACTTTTTTTCGGGGGAGGGGAATGGCAGCCTTGAAATAATGGCTCAGATAGGCAAGCTAGAAATGTTTTTCTCAGATGTGATATAATTAATTCCATCTTGTTATGTCAACGTGTCTCATTTAACTTTGCAGCTTCTGCTGAGTCTAGCCCAATGTTTTGCATGCAGTTGGCTCTTAATAAATGCTGAATTGCCTTATGCAATGGATCTGATAGCATTATCATTCCCATACTTGAAATACTTACCATTTTCATTTTGTTCATAAGAGGCAATGTGATATATTAAATAGAGAACAGTCCCAGGAGCTAGAAAGAACTGGGTTCATGGTCTGCCTCTGATTCTTACTGACTGTGTGACCTTGAGAAAATTCCTTAATGTCTCAATGCTCTCAGTCAGTGGTATCAAACTCAAATTTGCTGCACATATTAACTTAGAAAACTACAAATTAACATTATGGTGTATTGTATTTTTATTTATTTCATGAAACATTTTCCAATTACCTTTTAATTTGGTTCTAGCCCAGCCTGG